CTCCTGCACACTACTGTACACTGACACTGCACTGAGAGAGAGAAGGTGTTGGACTCACCACACTCACTAGCTGACCCTCCTACCAACTGGAAGAACTGTTGTGCAATCTTCAGATGGTCCCGCTAAGAGAGAGAGAAAGTTGTTGATAGAAACTGACTTTGCTTTTGTCTGTGTGTATCTGGATATCAGCTTATTTGTTCTGTTACTCACCGACCCCATCTCCTGTCCCAGCGCTGCATTCACAACCCCCTTCAGTATATACTCCTGAGAGAGAGAGGGGTTAATACACACACTCCTGCACGCCAACGAAGAGTTAGAGGAATAAAGGGAGATGGAGAGGTGAGCAGTTCCTGCAGAGGGAACATCAGAAGACTGTACCTGAGGAGTGGTCGGTTCAAGATCTTTAATCAGGTTGAAGGCCTCCTGGACATCATCTGAGACAAAGGACAGTGCGTTAATACACCTCTAACCTCTGCGCACTGGCACTGACACTCAGTAATAAATTACAGGCAGGGAGACAGATACACAGCGCCTCACCCTGGCGGAGGTAGTAAATGACCAGGTTGAGTCGAGCCTCAGGAATGACGTCAATCAGGGGGGGCAACACCTGCAGAGCCCCCTCCCCTCCCCGAAACACCACCTGCCGTAGAGAGAGAGGTTAAAGCAGAACAGCGCCACCTACTGCCTGGCAGCTGGGCTGCAGAATCTCCCTGTCTCGTCTGCAGACAGATCACCATCTCAAGCAAAAACCACAGAGAGTAACTGGACTATTTTTAACAACTGAACCGTTCTCTGATGTTCATTCCTCAGTTCTGGCAACGAGCAGATGAACTCAACAGGGACAGATCTTTACTCCACTGAGAAGCAGCTCTCCGATGGACATGAAACCACACCGTTTTGTAACACTGATCATCACGTCCATTATCAGCATGATTTCTCTCACCAGGGACTCAGCAGCCGTTCCTCTCCAAGACGATTATTACTATACTGTACAGGACACATTTGCACTGGGCTAATGATCCCAAAATCTTACATTTTAAAAAGTTAAGTCCACAAGAGCTGGCTGTCCAACACAATTTCCATGGTAAGAGGCGCCCAGAGCTCGGGAGCACCAGTGCTGAGGAGGTGGCCGGTTGGCAGAGCCTCACTCCTGCAGGTACCCTGCCTGCTGCCCAGTCCATACCATCAATACAATACTGCCCAATACTGCGTGAGTCAGACCCAGTCCAGTTTAGTCAATCTACTCCAAAACAGCCCAGCCCAGTATAGACCCCCAGTCCAGTGGAAAGAGGTCCAGCCTCACCAGGTTGTGTCTGATGAGCTCCTTGGCAAACTCGAAGGAGCTGGAGGAGATATCAATCAGGTTCTTCAGCTCTGCCTGAGAGACAGAGAGATACAGTCAGAGCAGGAGAGGCAGCGTCAGTGACCAGAACCCACAGCAGCCTAGGCTACAACGTGAAGTGGCTACACTGTGAGTCAGTGTGTCAGTGTGCAGCAGTGCTGTACCTCAGCAGTGTTGCTGTACAGTGTGAGTCAGTGTGTCAGTGT